ATCACGATACAGTGCACTTTCGATTCGATACAATTCAATACAGTTCAATAAAAAAAGTCCAAGTCTAAATCATGGCTGTGATACTAAAAGTCTTTGATAAACCACTTCTCGTTCAAAGTTCATATGAAACACAAACATTTTACTCACCAAAACAGTGAAAATGTCAAATGTGTCTCATAAATGAGTTTCCTTCCTCTAAACAAGCAACAAAACTGCTGCGCTGTAACAAAATAATTTAGTAAAATAAACCAAAAAAATACTCTTGGTGATATATTGATACAGTAGAGTATTGATTAAAATTGTGTTTGCCAATAAAGAGTAAGTAAACTTTAGCGTTTATTTCTGATCAAGTATTGAAACCTGTCACAAACATCTTGAAACAAGTAAAATAATATATGTACACAAGTAAAAAAAAAAAGTTATTCTAAACTGTTGAAATGAAAGGTCCTCCATGACAGGAGATGGAAATGTTTTTGCTTTGTCAGTTTAATTCCATAAAGTTGAACATCCGTAATGGATTTTACTTTCAGACAAATACATGTTTTATTGCTTATAATACCTTGACAAACATATATTCTGACTGTGAGCAGGGTCACTTCTTCACTGATGTGACCTGTAATGTGACCTGATGGCATCACTGGCTTGTTTCCATGGAGATAAAAACCTTTATTGCCATAGTGTACATAACATAACATACATACATACATAGGCCCTGTTCACACTAGTATGTATTCTTGTCGTTTTCATTGTGGATGCAGCGTTCGTCCACACTAATCCAACTGAAAACGGCGGACACGATCTGGTGCCTCCAGCTCCCACAAATTCATCTGAGTACAGATCTGATCCAGCACTGTGTGGACGCCTGAAAACACTGATACTCTGATGTAGTTCTGTGCGCCGTGATGTAATTCACCACCAAAACACTAAGAGACTAGAATATCTGTCCATTCATATAAACGTGTGTGTGTGTGTGTACGACCTGCAGACGTATAATCTCTGAAAAGTTTCACATGAACCATCTCCAACACGACAGAAACACAGAACAGACTCACCATCAGCAGAACACCCCTCTGTCACAGAAAGAACACTCAGATTCCACTGAGTCGTGTCCTTTAGTCCAACAGAAGCTGAACCACATCAGTGCACAATAGTGAACTGTTTTTTTGAGCTCAGTTTATGCAAATGAGTCATGTGGTTTTAAATTTTGTTTCTGTAAAACAAACAAATCTGCTCAAAGTTGTGTGGATAGAGAAGACTTGCAGACACAGAAACAACTTGTCTGGACGCATATCTTTTCCGATATAGTGATACGGTGATTCGTTTCAGTGTAAACGTAGCCGTAATCCAGCCAGCTGATTTGCAGTGGTGCAAAAGTTATTCTTCAGGGAATTCTGTCCTCACTGCAATGCTAACACTGCTCACTTCCTGATTCTCAAACAAGAATAAAAAACAAAGACAAATAAAAAAAAGTTTTTATAAGATCCTTTGAGCTCCTTTTACAATATGTCTGTACTGAGATAAAACAAATTTTGCTAAAAATCAGGTACAGACACTTTAAGATTAATATTTTGAATTCAAGTAATTTGACCTTTTTTAGTATTTCATTTTTTTCTGTGAAGCCAGCTCGGTGCTCTTATCAAGCTCCTCTTTCAATATCTTAATTTCTTCCAGTATCCCGTAGTTCTAGTCGTGCTTCTAGAATCACAACCGTGACCCCATTCCCAGGCGTTTTGCTAAAGCTGACCTATTCATCTCCTCTATCCCAGCGCCCCTTCCTGTTATCTGTGTGTAGACTGGAGCCTGGTCCCTGAGTGGAGCCTGAGTGGAACAAATGCCGCAGTGAAATGAGTCTCAGGCTGCACGGGGAGAGTGTGACGGCTCTCCTCTCAGACTGGAGGTGATTGCGTGGTCCTCCCTCAGGTCAACATACGATCAGAGTCATTTCCTCTGTGATATTTCACCTGGGCTCTGCAGGCCTGGCTCTCTGAACGCACTTAAGAACACTGGAGTTTACTTTTAGCACAAGAAGTAAACTTTATTGGAGCCGCAGAGATTGGTGTCGACAGTTTAAAGACATTGTACCTGATTTGAACCGTCTTAGAAAACTTGAAAAACCAAATGTATTCCTAGTATCTTAATTATTCACCAGTTTATAAAAACTTTTCACAATCACTCCAATACTAACAACAACTAGCATGCTAATTAGTCTTACTTACTAGTTTGCGGACAATAAAAATGCTTTATGTTTGACCTGGGCTCTGCATGGTTGGCCCTACAAACTCACTTAAAAAAGGTGGACTTTACTTTTAACTAGGGATGGGCATTCGATGAAATTTTATTAATTGATCGTTGGGAGACTTAACGATCGATTTTTTATTAATCATTAATGTCTTTATATTTATTTATTTATTATCTTTATTATTACTATAACTAATCTGCATAAGTAAACTCAACTTTACAACATAAAAACCATCACCACTCTAGAGCCACATCAGCCCTTTTGAGATTCGAATGTGTTTAATGCAGCTTTGTGCAAGTAGAAATGAAACTTAAAACCACATGTCTAATTTGCATAAATTAAGCAGAGAAAAAAAACGCTCTTGTGCGCTGATGTGGTTCAGCTTCTGTCGGACTAAAGGACATGACTCAGTGGAATCTGAGTGTTCTTTCTGTGACAGAGGGGTGTTCTGCTGAAGGTGAGTCTGTTCTGTGTGTCGTGATGTTTTCAAAGATCATACGTGTGCAGGTTTAGTGCAGCTCTTTATGTTGCAGTAACCGTGATACTGCATAAACATGCACCATGACAATCTGAGATACAGATGTGTCTGTAAACACACTCGCTGAATGGTACAGTGTCTCCAAGGAGGAGCCAGAGCCCAAACGTGGGACTGAGGCCTCAACTCCAGTGTTTGTGTCAGACTCAGCTTCATATCCACACACAGACACTTACATTCAGTTTGTCGATTAGAAATGAACGTAATCGACAAAATTCTTAATGATCAGTTATTGATTAGTGGACTAATCGTGCCCATCCCTACTTTTAACACAAAATCACACAGCACAGTCACGGTTATACTAACAACAACTAGCATGCTAACAGTGTGCAGGCTTTACTTGACGGTTTGCAGATGATAAAATGCTTTATATCTCACCCCAGACAGCACATGACAGTCTCATTTTGGCCCTAAGAGCTGCTTCCACATTCTACATACCGTATTTTCCGCACTATTAGTTGCTCTGGATTATAAGACACACTGTCATTAAATGGTCTATTTTCAAACTTTTTTCACAAATAAACCGCACTGGACTTTAAAGGAAACCCAACAGTGTGATGGGTGAGTGGTTTTGTTTGTTTGTGGTGTTCACGGTGACTCTGGGCTTTGTTCAGTTGTGGCGTGTAGGGAGGGTGCTGTCTGGGACCAACGGATTGTCGGCGTGTTCGCAGAGACTCAGTTGTGTCTAGAAGTGGCACATTGCACTCGCTTTTTCGGTTTGTTCCTCCGTTCTGTTCCTCGTTGCCATGGAGTGATGAGTGTGTCTGTGAGTGTTTTTCGCTGTGCGGTCGCTGTCTGCTCCGTGTGTGTTTGTGGCTTTGTAGTTTACTGAAGTCGTGCTGGTGTGGAGTGGATTTGTGTATAGGGCGCTCTGGATTGTGGGGCGCTCAGTCATTTTTCAACAAAAGCTGTGTATTGTGTATTGCACCTTTTAAAAATATCATTGTAGTTAATAATTTAGTGTGAAAGTGTGAGCCAATAAACATATAAACTAACAAAGGTATTCTGTGCAACTTTTGTGCAGATTTGTCAGCCACCTTCTTGTCTCCATGGAGATGTTACTGCTTTGCCTAGAATAGTTTCGCTTGTCTGTCATGCGTTTATTTGGGTGATTTTATCTTGCATTATTATTGAGTGGGCTCGCCTTTCCTCAGATATTACCTTACTTCACTGTCTCTAAAGAAATAAATACAAGGCTAATGCCACACTGTGGAAAATTCCAGGCTATGCAATATCATGTTCATGGAGAGAAGCAGATGGCAGAGCGTTGTAGGCCCTTAATATCACTCTGTTTAACTGCCAAACCTGCAGTATGCAACCATAGTCATGACTCAGCACTTTCAAACTTCAAATTCAAACAGAAAAAGCTCCAACCAGACCCCTCCCTCACCCAGCGCCCCTCACCCAGGACCAGGCGCTGTTCCCTGGGATGGTAATTACCCATGAGCCCCTGGTCCCGGTGTGATCTATTAAAGGCCCAGAGTCATTTCCCTAATCAGTGCTGCGGGGTCTGGCTCCTGGTGGACTCTTGTGTTCTGTGTCAGACCTACTCACTTTGATGTACCTGCTGTCAGCCAATCAGCAGCCGCCGTTCAGCACGTGTCATCACCTCCACATTTGATCTGTGTTACTGTGAGACTGTAGGTTTGGGCTCTTCTGGTTCGGTCACGGTTATGATTTGAACATGGACACTGTCACCAGAAGGTTTCAGATTTGTTCATTTCTATTTTCTGTTTTCTGTTACAAAATACATAAATGATTCAGGAATCTCGGGCTAAAACATTTTTTATCAGTGTCATTTTAGTAAAGATTCAGTTCTCAGTGTAGATTTTATAAACATTCATGAGCATTAAAGCTTCATTACGTAACTTCTAGTGGAGCTTTGTCATGTGTTTGTCTCCTATGGAATGTTTGGCATTAAACTTCTCTATCTCCATGGTTACACTAGGTGACGCTACCAAGTCAAGTTACAGGTCAGATCTACGGAGCTTTTAAGCAATAAGAACTATTGTAATGAATGAATAAATGAAAGAGAGATTTAATGCTATACTGTAGAACAATCAGACTAAGCAGTAGCATCTCCATGGAAACCCTCCACTAGAAAAGTTACTCAGTGTGTCTTTACCATTTGGAAGAAAATTGAAATATGAATGCTTTTTTTGTTTTTGTATTGTGTACTCTTCAAACATGCTAACATGACATGTGCTCCTGCTTTGTTTGTTCCAGAGGGGAGTGGAGGGCTTCTGGAAGTCCGTGGCCCACGCCGTGCCCCGGGAGCCCAGTGAGATGAGGATTCTCAACCCGTACTTCATTCAAGAGGCAGCCTTCCAGTTCATCGGGCTGCCCTTCAACAACGGCCTCATGGGCAAAGGGGTGAGAAACTCTGCTTTATACACTTTTATACACACTGGCATTTTCAGCTTCTGTCCATCAACTCACAAAACACGTCACTTCAACCAGGAAAGACAAAAATAAACCAATGAGTGGTGCATGAATTTGAGTTTATTGAATGGGTCAGCAGTGGAGCCCAGGACATAGAGAGGTTTAGAATGTTGCACATTCTATTTACTTTTAGTGTGTTACTTGAACATGAATACATGTGTTCATTTTAACCTCCTTTTTATTCTAAAAATAGAAAGACTCCCAAGACTAGGGCCAAACACTGGACTGATGAAGGTCTATCTGCTGAAACGTCACTGTAAATGCAGCTCACTTTTTGCAAGTGTGGAAGTCTAACCTCACACACCTGGCTTCAGAAATATGATGTGCAAAGTAACCTCTTTAACTGAAGACATTCTGAAAGAATATCAAGTACTCTCTTCCAACAGTTAGAAACTCTCTTGGTTGGTCATACTCCTCGTGAACAATGCAACAACATGTAAATAATCAAACCTATTTTTGTTAATTTTTTGTTTTTCTTACATAAATATGAAACCCTCAGAATACTAACTTTTTGCTTTCTTTTATTTGTTGAGGGTAAGGGCAGAGTTTGGAGATGCTTTATTTTTTGTGGTGCCAGGACACTGTCCTCTACTCCTCCATGTTCAGTTTGTTCTGTCCTCTGTCCTCTGTTCTTCCAGAGCTCTCTCTTCTGATTGGTTCAGTCTCTTCTGATTGGTTCAGTCTCTTCTGATTGGTTCAGTCTCTTCTGATTGGTTCAGTGATGCTGCTCTTGCGTGGGTTTTAGAGTCTGTATACTACAGGTGACTATTACAATGATCAAAATAAGACTGATTATTTGTTAATAGTCTACTGTAGTCACAATTATTTGCTTAATTGTTCCAGACTCTGTTGGATCTGCTACATCTTAGTTTTGTAGAGTGTAGTAATTTACATACTGACTGTAACCCTATTGTATATCCATGCGCGGAACTGGCATACGTGATACTCTGCACCTACTCCATTCATCCTTACCCCAAACAATACATAAAAATATCTTCTCAGTGGAGGTCAAATCTGTGGAAAAAAAAAACTTCCTCTGATCTCATTTTGTCATTATTAGCGAGCGGGGAAAACACAAAAGCAGCTAACATCACCGTCCCTCAGGCTAATTTACCTAATCAGGCCTGTTCCAGCTCAGACAACAGCCGACCGGACCCCAGCCATTTACCATAATTGATGAAAGAAAGAAAAGAAAGGAAAAAAACGTGTGGACCAGAGAGCTCGTTGTCTGCAGTTATTGACGGGCCTTTCCTGTGCTTTCACGAGGGAGGGAGTGTCTCTAATCTCTACCTCTGTAATCTTCCTTGTTACTTTCTCCTGTTGGATAATGCGCTGTGGTTTTGAGGGCTTTTTGGAGCTAGGTGCAGCATACCTGAGCAGTTTGGCAGTAATTACAAGGTGGGAGGGACGGGCTCAGCTAAGTGGAGCAGAAAAGTGTTGTTTAAACTAGGCTGATCCGTAAGTATTTTTTTATATCTAAGCATTATTGCACACAAGGACAAATGTAGTATAGTATCGTGTAGTTTTGTTTCATCCTGTCAGGACATTAAGCAGACAGACTAAGGCTTTGGCTGTTTTACCAGAAGAGGCTGGTTTGTGTTTTGGTATAAACTGTAATTCGTAATCTCCAAATTAATTTTTCCAGATGGGAATTTATCTTGGATAGAGAAAAGTACACTTAAGGCAAAGAACATGAGACATTAGACTAATACATGTAAAAACACAAGCTCCATAAATCACAGCCGCTCTGATTTATGGCTTGAATTCAGGAGGTTCGCTGATGTAGGGAGGAAGGAAGTTTTTATACTTTTTCTGGTACCATGGACTGTATATAAATGCACAGAGCTAACGCACTAGTCTCTGCATTCCCAATAGGAAGTTCACGTGCGGCTCTTCTGGATTCTACTCACCCTGGCTCCCACTGACTTAGGCTGCGTTCACACTGCAGCCTGAAGTGACCCAAATCCGATTTTTTAGCCCCTATGTTCCTGTATCTGATCTTTTAATGACAGTCTGAACCACACAGATCCGATTTTTTCAAATGCGACCCAGACTATTTGGATATGTGCTCCTGAAACTGATACATATCTGATCTTTTGACATGTGACTTCAGTGTGAACGGTCAAAGCACATTCATCCACCTACACGCTATCAACAAGACACAAACGTCACTATTCTGCACTGAAGTAGGTGAAAATTGTTAATGAACTCCATGTCACTGAAGTGAAGCACATCTCCACTCACCACTCTTGGCTCCGTCTCCACATCCACACATTCCTTTCAACGGACGTTGCTGCCGCTGTCCCACAAACCACGGCCAAAAACCTGGTCCTTCTCCTTCTCAATCTCCTCCTTAAAACAAGTAAGTTGTTCATGTTCTGGTTCTGGTACGAGAGGAACTTTAAAATCTCCAGGTGCTCGATGCTGCTTCCATGTTTGGACAACTTCTGTAAACACAGAGACGCTCGCTGTGGTTGACGTCGTCGTGTCTCCAGTGTCACATGTGAGACACTTTTGGGCCGTTTAATGTTCACACTGGAGTCACATACAAGTAACATTTAATTGGAAATGTGAACGAGCTCGCAAAAACATCAGATTTCACAAAAAAATCAGAATTGAGCGTTAAGCCCTGCAGTCTGAACGGAGCCTTAGAACATTAGAATATTGCCGCTCCTCTCTCTGTGACTGCTGCTGTGCTCCTCATCATTTTGGTCTTAAAATGTTTATATATATATATATATCATATTTTGGTTAAATTCAGCTCTGTAACCCCTGTCATCAAATAAACATCATATCATCGTGAGCTTCATTTGACTGGAGCCGAGCGCTGTGTACAGTCTGTGGTTGGAACCCAATAGAGAGATTATCAGACTTTGTCACTTGGCGCTCTACTGCACATGTCTCCTGTAGATTGAGCTGTTTTGTTCTGTCTGTATCATGTCAGTGTCTTGTAGGATTTCAGCAGATTTCAGACTCTCTCGGGGGCGGGGATAGGTGTATGGTTCAGGTGTGAGTGGATGTCCAACTACTGAAGTATGAGACGTTTCTTCTCGTCATTTATGCACTCACTTGCATTTAACACAGACTTAGTGTCATAACTTATTTTATCACACAGTTAGAAACTGTTTTGTACTCTCAGGCTGCACACACATCCTCTGTGTTGATAAACAAGTATACAGTCTGTCTATAGGGACGTCCAGAGGGGAGCAGCTCAGAGTGGGAGTGAGAGACATGAAAGAAGTCAGAGATAAACTTGCCAAACTTTATAGAGCACAAAATATTCACTTTTAGAGATCGTGAACATATCAACACATAATATTATTTCTTCTTCACCATCAGCAGTTCCTTTGGTTAAATCCTAAGGTACGACATATTCCATGACATATTACCACAGGTCAAATTCTCCAGCTGAGGTACTCCTAACCAAGCCTAGCAACAAGATCAGGGAGATGGGTCCCCGGGCGCCCCATGTGCTCCCCACTGCTCCTGAAAGGATAGGTGAAATGTAGAGGACAATTATCCTACTACAGGGATAATAAAAAGTACTGCAAAATACAAAAAAAAAGAAGAAGAAAAATGTATATATATAAGATACATATATACACACACACAAAAATGTAAAAAATAATATGTGACATGCAGTGCAATTCATAGGCTTTACAAGAGTTAAAACTTACTAGGTAACACTTTATAATAACTACACCTTATTTAGCCTTAATAAAGCATGAACAAAGACTTAATTAATAATGATTCACGCTTAGTAACTACTTAATTACTACCTTAATTAGCACTTAACTTGTACTTAATTCACCTGTGCTGTAAATAGTTAGTCAATACTTCTTAATTACTCATGAACTAACCATTTGGATGTTTACAAATGCATATTTAAGTACACATTTGATCATTTATTAATGATTAGTAAGCCATGAGAGAATGATTTACTAATAATGCAATGCAATAATAATTCAGGCAGCTGTTATCTGCTATCTGTTAAGTCTTTTTGAGAGCTTTTCTAAAGTGAAGACGAATTATGTTTTATTAAGGATTTGTTAAGGTTGGTCAAAACAATAATGCATTACTAGTAAATCATTCTCTCATGGCTTACTAATCATTAATAAATGCTTCAAATTTGTACTTAAATATACATTTACAAATGCACACACAAATGGTTAGTTCATGAGTAATTAAGGAAGAAATACTTATGAGTAACTATTTACAGCACAGGTGAATTAAGTGCAAGTGCTAATTCAGGTAGTAATTAAGTAGTTACTAAGCGTGAATCATTCTTAATTAAGTCTTTGTTCATGCTTTATTAAGGCTAAATAAGGTGTAGTTATTATAAAGTGTTACCACTTACTATTGTAACTATGGTAACAAAGGGCACCGCTAAAAGCACTGAATGTTCCTTTTGGTCATGCGTAAGGAACATTCAGTGCCTTCAGCGCCGCCCTCTGGTGGTCAGGAGGGGTGAAAGAGAACTTTTGTGGGCAGTGAAAGAGAAAGTAAAGAGCACTGTAGTAACAGAACTTAAATGTACAAATATATAGTGGCTGGAAGCAGCATTCATTAAGAAGAATTGTCAAGAGAGGAGACATAAGACTCCAGTGCATTGCTAAAAATAGAACTGCTTCTCAAGTAGAATGAGTTCTCCATTCAGATCTGTCGTTTTTACATGACAGGTTTTTGCTGCTTGTTTAAATTTCCTCGCCCTCCCGATCCAGCTCTCTCTTAACTCGCTCCATTTGCTCGTAACAACATGTAGCGCACCCCCCTCGTATCGGAGCAGACTCGTGGTAATTGCAGGTCACCGAACTACACCAGAACCCAGAGCTCCGAGTCTGCCCCTCTCTGCCTCATGCGCCCGTAATTGCCCCTCATGTGTGTTCTGCTGATGACTTCGACGGAGAATATTGGTTTGAAAATGGCCCAAAACGATGTAGACTACCTATACCCCCCTCTCCCCCCTCTCCCGCCTCCCTCCCTCCCACCCCCTCTAAGCCCACGGAGTCAACTACCCCCAGAACATGTGCGCAACATATGGCCACGCTGGTCATTCAGTCTACTTCAAAATTAGCTGTGCGATTTGACACTTTCCACCATCAACACCGCCGACAGTTAATGTATATGTTTATGAAAAATTATATTGCTTATATTTGTTGTAAGCATGTGTGGCTTCGTCTAGTCCTGTTCACGGTAGGGGGTTGGCCATCTGCGAGCTCCCCCCAGGGTCCCCAAATCACGCTAATGGTTTTAATAAGGCCTCCCTACACTCCTCCTTTCTTCTTTCTTTCATTCGTTCTTTTTTTTTCTTTCGTGTCCAAGCCCCGGGGCGGTAAGGAAGCGCAGTTTAACCCCACGGAGTCCAGTTGAAACTCCGAGGTAATAGTTAATCACCAAGTGTTCAGAGTCAGTTAGCCGCAGTCAGGCAGAACAAAGCCGGCGGGTCAAATGCAGCAGAGGGGGACCCGTGCAGGAGGAACTGGTGTCAGAGTGGATAAACAGCCTGGGTACGGTGGTACGAAACACAGTGTAAACACGGAGACTGGGTCAGCTCTGGAGGATAATGGCAATTAACCTTGACCAAATAGCCTGGAGGTGTGGGAGAAGCATTTTGAAGTCGCCGTGTTACGTGTGCTGCTCTGGCTTCGAAAGGAACTTTTACTTATTGTTGTGGGAATTAATTAGGAAGTTGTGGGTAGGCCTGTCTCGATAACAGACTCTGAAGCACGAAATATATATTGCTACTGAGATGTACAATAATTAGCCGCAATTGGAGTCACTTATTTAACCTTCTACAGCTCAAATCTTGTGGTATTACCGTATTTTCCAGGCTATTAGACGCGCTCTTAAGCCTCTAACCCCATCAAAAAATGACAATCCAGAGCGCCCTATACACGAATCCACTCGGGTGTCCCAGTACGACTTCAGTAAACTACAAAGCCACACCACCTGCAGCGCACGCAAACACACACGGAGTAGACAGCGACTGCACGGCGAAAAACATCCACAGACACACTCATCACTCCACGCCGACGAGGAACAGAACGGAGGAACGAACGGAAAAAGTGAGTGCAATGTGCCACTTCTAAACACAACTGAACTGCGAACACGCCGACAATCCGTTGGTCCCAGACAGCACCCTCCCTACACGCCACAACTGAACAAAGCCCAGAGTCACCGTGAACACCACAAACAAACAAAACCACTCACCCATCACACTGTTGGGTTTCATTTAAAGTCTGGTGTGGTTTATTTGTGAAAAAAGTTCGAAAATAGACCATTCAATGACAGTGCGTCTTATAATCCAGAGCATCTAATAGCCTGGAAAATACGGTACAAAACAACAAAAATACCAACAATCTTTCCCACTTTTACAAAGAAAAGAAAATGTAATTGTATTGTTTCAACTTTCATATATTGAACGATAAGTGAATATAGTGATTATCGTGACAGGTCTAGTTGTAGGAATGAACTGGGATGTACTTGTATTCTCCTACAACTGCTACTTTTTGTTCGAGGACATACCTGCTTGTCTTGTCAGATCTCGGAAATGAACCAAGACTGGGCCTAGTTAGTGTTTAGATGGAAGACTGCTGTAGTGGGTGGAAAAAGTTGTTGTGTTTTTAGGCATGACACTTTACTCATCTTGGGCGACTGTAGCTCAGTCGGTAGAGTGTTCGTCCACTGATTCGAAGGTCGGCCCACTATACTAACGAGGAGCCTTTTTTGGCAAGTACTTCTTGATAAGGAGACTGCGTGGACGATGGTTGCTCCTCGGGGCTTCAAAAAATAGTCTAGAAGGATAAACATCATTGATAGATCCACTAACCCACAGGTTGACCACAGATGATTGCTGTCGTTGTGACTATTTACCATTTCCCTACCTTGTCTAGTATGTATTTGATCACTACACACACACTTGCACACATCAGAGGGCCTGGTGGCACACATTGACAGCCTCACTTTTGCCACTGTGTCCCAGGTCAACTGTGGCTACAGTAGCAGTTTACGACTACAGAGTATTGGGTGACTGAATTATGTACTGTAAAGCGTCTTAAAAGGTGCGTTATGAATTCAGTAACTTGTATAATAAAGACTTATGGACTACTGTCAATCACTCACTCACCCATACACCACATCTCTACTTGGGCAACATGGGTGAAGTGTCTTGCCCCAGGACACAACAACAGTAGGCAGGCTTAAGTAGTGTAACTCCTCATATTTCTAGTTCTTGCTTAGACATGGACCAAGTTACTCCTTCTACAGTCCAGGTTAAAGTTCCTAGATTACACAAAGTTGGTTCTTGTGTTTTTAGCGATGTTGTATGTTGTTACCTCATCAAAAACACACCTGGAGTAGAATTTTGTTTTATTCACACACGTTTGAGTAATCCTGTGTTATTAGTCTGTCTGCATCTGTCTGCACCAAAGCTCAAAATGCTCTGGTCCACCTTGCCTGCACCAAGTCCTAGTTTTCAAGTGAACGACTTGACTTAGCTTTTGTTCAATAGAATTTGGCCATTCCGGGGCTAAAATTGCCCAAATGATTCTCGTTAAGATGTATGGCAGGGGTCTCCAACCTGTTGCTCGGGAGCTACCAGTAGCTCTCCTCCCCCTTCCAAGTAACTCACCAAAGCAATTCTAAATTATTTGTATTGCGCTTAATAACTAAAATCTTATTAATTATCATTGTAAACGTGTCATATTAATGTGCACTAATAAATGTATAATAGTTTATGTTTAATAGGTATCTAACTGTATCCCATCTAAGGCTTGCCGTGACTCTTCTGCTTTCACAATTTCTGACAATTGCTAAAATGAGTAGCTCTTCCACATTTTCATTTTATAAAGGTAGCTCTTCCGAGGAAAAAAATTGGAGATCCCTGGTTTATGGAGTTTAAAATCACGTTGGAGCTCTTACTGATCTACCAAATGACATCACAGAGTGGAACAGTGTTTTCAGTTTGAGAGAAGGCCTCAGCTTAAATATGCAGCGATTGTGTGTCACGAAACAAAACACAACTCTGAATGTGTTTTTGATGAGGAACCAACAACATAACATAGATCAGAAAATAGCTTAGTATGGGTTTTTTAAAGGTGCATAATGTAACTTTGTGGTTGGGGATCTGTTTGTTTCCATGGATATGTCACTGCTCTGCCTGGAATGTTCCACAGTATGACATTAAACAGCTCTACTTTTATTCAATTATATGTGGGTTTTATAGCTCAAAATACCTTGAAAAACAGGCGTTCTGACTCTGAGAGGGGTTACCTCTCCACAGATCTGACCTGTAACTTGGTCTAGTTTAGTCTCCATGAAGAAACCAGAGATAGAAAGGTTTAATTCCATACTGTGAAACATTCCAGACAAAGCAAGAACATCTCCATGGAGAGAAGGATTTGATGTATCCTCCACCAGAAAGTTACACAGTGCATCTTTTAATTCCTGCTTAGTTCCAGTTCAGGTTATGAGAGTTTGTTAACATTTGAGGGTGTAATCCAGTGTATGTGAACGCAGCCTCAGCCTATTCACCGCCTTGTCTCACTCTGAGCCCTTAAGACCTCTGTATTTAAACTGGCCAAGAGCACCATTGGCTACTTGTCCTCTGTGTTGTTGAGCTTGGAATCAAACCATCGCTTCATCTTAATTAAAACCCGGACAAAGCTTTATAAATGTTCCTGGGGTCCCGTCCAGTTTCTCGCGGTCTATTTTTGGTCATCATTCGGTCTTCATTACGAGATGCTAAAAGACCCAATAATAACAGCGGCCGGCCTTTTGTGTGTCTGCTCCAGAACATTCCGACGCTGGGGACGGTTGCTATAACGATGGCGCTCCACAACTGCGACGAGGTGGCGGTGGCGGGCTTCGGCTACGACATGAGCATGCCCCACGCGCCCCTGCACTACTACGAGACCGTCAAGATGTCCGCCATTAAAGAGGTGGGTACTTAAAGCTATGGGGAACTAGTGTGATTCTGTGTAAAAGACAACTGGGCATGTCCAAGGGGGGGCCATTTCCACATAGGGGGCCCCGAGGTTGAGTTATTTTATAATTTTTTTTTTTATTTAAGATTTAATCATATTATTTAAAGGTGCATTGTAGGGCTGCATTTGACCAAAGAATTTTTTCATCGACCAAAAAATGGGACGTGGCAACAGCTTCCAAAACTATAACGTATCTGTGGATCTGACTCAAACTGCACTTACAAGACTAAACCTGCAGGGGGACTTCATGCAAAAACTACTATTTATGCAGGGAAAAAAGTACTGCGAAACTATGTATTTAAAGATATCCAAGTCTCATGATACGATATTTTCACGATATACATCTCAGGGTACGATATTTATTGTGATATTTTGTGGAGGCTAACCCTACTTTTTCTTCTTAAAATGCCTCGACAAGACTTAATCCAAAGAACTAAGACTTAAAAGTATTAAAACTGTTATTTCTTCTTGTCTACACAGAAATGGAGCAAAGGATCATGGTCTATGTCGTTCCCTATGTCTTTTTTTTTTTTTAGCTGTTGCTGCACCTTCATTTAAGCAAAGAGACTGGTGATTCGATATGTTGTGATGGGCCACGGGATTATTCTTATTTCTTATTTTTATTTATTTGTAAAGGGACAGCACATATTAATGAACATTATGAACATTTCCATCTTCAGTCCCTCGGCAGGTTGATGTAAAATCATCTACAGGATAAGGTAAAGTACAGCAACAATCACACAAAAGTACATCACCAACACCAGGACACTCACTATACACACACTTAATTTCAAACAGTTCATTTGAAGTTCAGAATCAAGAGTTTAAAAGTTAAACCAACAACCCCTCCAATATAAAAGAAAATGTAATTTCATTAAACATGGAGACATATTGAGAGAACTTTGACGATACGATATCACCATATTTCAGTTATTTTTACACCCTTAGTATTTATACAAAGACCGATTAATGTTGAGAATTATGAGTTTAAAGGTGCACTGTGTAACTTTTTAGTTTGGGGTCACCTTCTTTCTGTGGATATGTCTCTGCCTGGAGTGTTCCACAGTATGACTTTAGTAAAGTGGGTGAGGTACATAAGGTATAGCTGAAAAATACCCACAAAAGCAGACATTCTGACTTGCCTCTCCCCAGATCTGACCTGTAATTTAGCCTGGTTTGGTCTCTGTGATGAAGATGGAAAGGTTTAACATTGTACTGTGAAACATTCCAGTCAAAGCAATAACACGTCCATGGAGAAAAGCAGCTGACAGACCCTCCACCAGAAAAGTTACATAATTCACTTTTAAAGTTGTTTAAAATGTGCTATATAAATAAACTTGAATTAAATATTATTGCTTTGCCTGGAATTCTCTGCGGTATCATATTACATTTGAAGACAGAAAGCTCTCAATATTTTCTATTTTGGCATTTTCAACATTTTGCACAGGGCCACCCAAAAACTAGAACCACCCCTGCTTCTGTTAACATTGTAAAAAATCATTGAATTGTGGGAAATTGGTTTCACTCCAGTTAATCAGCTCTAAATCTTATTGTCTAAACCCCAAAGTCTAATTGCTGTTACTGACAGGCGTGTTCTGGCCTCAGACTGCAGCCCCCACGGCCCCAGTGCTGCTGCTGCTGCTAACACGAGGGTCTGGACGAGCAGGGACCACTCCTGTGCAGCTGGACCCCCGCCAGACTCCATCAGACCCTACACAAAGATCCACTATAGAAGCGCATGGTCTGGGTTTGGGGAATTAAAGGCACTGTACCTGATTTTTACAGGCTTGAAAAACATGAAAAACAGAACGAGTTATTTCTCAGCTTGCAAACTCATTTCTAGGATCGTAATTTTTCACCGTGTTGAATCAACTTTCAGAGGCCAGTGCAGAGTTGCAGACAGCAGTCTCATTTTGTCATTTTGGCTGCGTTCAGACTGAAGCCTGAAGTGACCCAAATCCGATTTTTTGGCTTCTATGTGACCTGTATCTGATCTTTTAATGACAGTCTGAATGACACAGATCCGATTTTTTCAAATGTGACCCAGGACACTTGGATATGTGCTCCTGAAACCGATACATATCTGATCTTTTGACATGTGACTTCAGTCTGAACGGCCAAAGTGCATTCATCCACCTACACGTTATCAACAAGACACAAACGTCACTATTCTGCGTCACTATTGTTAATGAACTCCGTGTCACTGAAGTGAAGCACATCACCACTCACCACTCTTGGCTCCGTCTCCACATCCACATGTTCCTTTCAACGGACGTCACTGCCGCTGTCCAACAAAACACCACGACCAAAAACCTCATCCTTCTCCTTCTCAATCTCCTCCTTAAAACAAGTAAGTTGTTCATGTTCTGGCTCTGGTACGAGAGGAACTTTAAAATCTCCAGGTGCTCAATGCTGCGTCCATGTTTGGACAACTTCTGTAAACACAGAGACGCTCACTGTGGTTGACGTCGTCGTGTCTCCAGTGTCACATGTGGGACACTTTTGGGGCGTTTAATGTTCACACTGGAGTCACATACAAGTCACATTTAATTGGAAATGTGAACGACCTTGCAAAAACACCGGATTTCACAAAAAATCGGAATTGAGCGTTAAGCCCTGCAGTCTGAATGGAGCCTTCGAGCTGCTTTGACAATATATCTAATGGAGAAAGATTTTATTTCTTTCTTTATTTTTGCGTAGTCCCTTGGGATGCATTATCTTTTTTTTTTCTGTGTGTCCTTAAATAACAGTTAACGACACAGTTTACTTTATTACATGAACCATGAAGTTGTTTTCAGTTGTTAATAATATGTAATAATTAAAGTTTCAGAGATGCTGAGATGTGATTGTTTTACCTGGAATATTCCACAGTTTGGCATTAAATATATCTCTTGAATCTACTGAATTTTGACTATTCTTATGCTAAAAATAAGAATAGTTAGTTCTGCAAAGTTTTGCGGGCAGGAGTGTTACTTAGATATACAAAAATTGTGCAGAATTGTCCTTTTTGGTGCTCTTCAGTGTATCGATCAGTCTCAAATACAAAGTAGGAAAAAACTGAGGCACTCAAAAAGTACAAAATAATGAAATGCCTTTAATACCACATGGCAGATAAAGTTAAAATCACGTCAACACGTTTCAGCCCTTCGGGTATAGTTAGTTTTTTAAGTATTTTTCTGTCTTATCAAAAAGTTCAAAATCATCCCATGAGGCTAACCTAAAATATTAGTTCGCCTCCTATTCCAACATCACTTCATTACAACATTTCGACGTGCCTATTTAGACGTGCCGATTTTCTGACACTTTTTAGTATCTCTATTCCGACACGTCAGTTTTTATTTTTATTTTTTGAGAGTCTACCCAGGCACGTCTCTCGCTGCTCTTCGATGTTCTTAATCTCAACAACTATCAAGTCACACACAAAACCGACTCACACAGCAGCAAACTGTTTCCCACGGCGATCAGTTTGGACATTTTCCCACTGTCTGATCTCGTCTGTGGCCGAACTATTCTCTGATCAAGAGCTTTGCACCGGCCCAAACATCTTATGACATATGTGAGCGCAAAGTATAATAGGCTGTCACATTAATATTATTCATGTCGGAAAAGCAGAACGTTTGAAAAATAGTAAAGTACCACAACTCCGACAGTGAAAACAAAAAAAGTAGCTTGAAAAATAATGTTCATGCCGCTGCTCTGACAATAGGAGGGTTTCAGTCACGTGATCACGATGACGCACGAATTTCAGGTGGAGGGCAGGAAGTGAAGACAAACACGACAAACACGATTATGGAAAACACCGATATGGAGAAGAGTTCTTATTGTCAGGATTTAGAGCCAGTAGCAAGACAAAAGTACGAGCAGTTAGTCGACAAATATATTGGGCGTGACCCTGATCTTATTGAAAATGAGAGAATTTTCAACTGAAGTAAAAGATTTGCCGACAATCGAAGCAGAGAGAGAACTATTTAGCTCTTCAGACATCGTTCTACACCAGACAACAGATGAAGGCGTACAAAGGTTTGGAGGCTTATAACTTTTTTTGTGAGTGGATGGGTCCTCAACCTCGGTGCAAAAAGCCTAAATGATGATTATGGTTTGGTCTTCGCCGGGGTGAGTGTTTCTCTTATTTTATGTGTAAAACTGCAGTGTATCGGCAGTAACCTCTATCTGAACTATTTAATGTCAACAAACGTCGTTAGTCGTTGGTTGTTAATGATTTGCGGATTCTGCTCCTCCCGACCGCAAACAGGTTTGTAATCCACTTTTTATGGCGTTTTTCTGTCGGCTTTTTCCATTTCTGACCTTTGTGGACGACTATATTCGGTACTAAAAAAAAATCGCTTTTCCTTCTCTCGGTTAGAACGATTGGCACAGCCGTAAACTACACAACACATCGGCATTTTTCAGACAAAGATGCAACAGTGTTTGACTAGCTTCCTCCAGTCAGTTCACTTCCTGCCCTCCATCTGATTTCGCGCACTGACAAACATAGTCCTGCAACGTCACGTGAAACCCAGATATTAGACTTGAGTGTCTAAATAGCGGCATGTTGGAATAGCAGCGTGTAACCCCAAAAATAAATGAAAAATCTCAAAAATCTTGGAAAATATCTGTGTCTTTATATTCTATTCTATATTCTATATTCTATTTCTATATTTTTTTTAATCTTCCATGAACCAGGAGATAGTTCTGTTGTATCGTTAACATGCTTGCTGTTTGTTAGCACTGTTGTGACTCCAAAACTTCGCTGCGGCCTCTGAAAGTTGTCATCGTAGTCAATTAGTATGATGTGTGGCGTGGGTTAAGAAAGTGCGTAATAACTTAGAAACCCTAAAGACCCTAAAATCAGGTACAGTGCAAAACAGGAAGAGAGTTTTTCAAGTCCAAACAGTCATTACTCCTCCAAACGTGGCATGGCAGTTAGGTAGATTACAGCATCTTCAAACATCACA